GTATGTGAGTAACTCTTCCATTTGAAACAAGATCTCACGACAAAAAAAGAGACTCTTGCTGAATAAATTGGTAAAATTAAAAAAAAAAGGCACTCTATAATACAGATTGTTGTAAGGTCGTCTGATTGTTAGGGATCATAATAAATCCTGTGATTTCAACAGTCCTGAATGGATATCAAACTAAATTAGATTACGGAGGTCTAAAAATAATGAAGAACACACGTGGTTGATGTCTGAATAAAATGAATATCTAAAAAGGAGGAGAAGAGAAATTCGCAATCGCCATATTTGGCACTGTATGGACTGGGCAATGCACATAACCAGTGCCTCTGGAATAACACACTCATAATGTTCATTATTAATAATGATAAAATACATCCTTGGCACCGACACTTGAGTTAGTAAGTACGTTTTTTTCTATAATTATGAAGGATAATATAAGAATATATTCACTTTTCTATCAATTAAGTATTAGTAGTAAAGACACCCGTTATAAATATCCATATTCGACTCCAGTGATATTGAGAAAAAAATATATAATAATAATAATAATAATAATAACAAAATAGTAATAATGATGGTAGTATCGAAGAACTATGGTAAATGATAATGATAAACAAGTAAAATTAATGACAATAACAAAAGGATCACAAGTAGTAGCAATAATAATAAGAAAATGTGCAACTGGTCCATCTGTATATACAAATATAGGCCTAAACATCTGACCATGAAAAACAGCTGACCAGAAGCCTTAGTGAATGTGATGTTACAAGTGTGAGCAGAATCCGTGCGTTTTCTTTCCTTTCCTTTGTCTGTCTGTCTCCCTCTTGACTCGTGACATCATTTTGTGACGTCACTTCCTTCTAAGGAGTTACGACGAGGAAAGGGCAATCACTAGCATACATATTTGCATTTATATATATAAATCTATATAATATTACAGGAATCGCAGGAATAACTTAAAAAACCCTTAATAATAATAATAATAATGATCATAAAAAATAATAGAAGGTTGTAGATTACAGATTAACTAAGACATATTAGAAAGCAAAACAAAACAAGGAAAGATATACAAAAAAAAGAGACAGTCAAAATTACATGAAGTTGCAGACACACTCACTAACCAAAATTAATTATCTGTGGTCTGTTTTTTTTTTTTGGCCCCTTTTTTATCGTCAGTTTCTCATTGCAGATAAAAAAAAAATTGCGAGAATGGCAGAGAAGGGGATGTTGAGGGGGGGGAGGGAGAGATATGGGAAGGGAAAGGAAGGGGAGGGGAGGGGGAGGTTATCACACCTTTCATTATTATTGCCTTTTGTCGAGACCTTTTTTGTCTCTCTCTCTCTCTCTTTCTTTGGCTCTATCCCTCTTCCCTCTCTTTCCCTCCTTCCGTTTCCTTTTCCTCTTTCCTCTCTACTCTTTCTTCTCTCCTTTCCCCCTTTTACATCCCCAATCCATTCTCCTCAACCTGCGAGACGAGAGGCAAGAGATAATATGTTAAAGGGAGAGAAAGAGAGACCCGAGAGAAAACAGACCTCAAAAGTGAGACCGAGGACGGAGTAGCTGGTCCATCGAGAGACCTTCTTGGGCAAGACTTCAGTTCCAGGGTAGCCTTAAGGTCGACCTTGAGACGGGGACTTCCTTCCTTCACTTGAGGGACGGATCGGACAAGCGGGACGATGGCGTCCTCCTCGTCCCTTCCTCCTCTTCCTCTTCCTCTCGTCTTCCTAAACTTCGTCGCCGTCCTTCTCCTCCTTTCGCCTTCCTTTCTTCCTTTTATCTTCGTCTTCGTCTCTCCCGCTCTCTTCGTCGTCGTCCTTCTCGTCTTCGTCTCTCCCGCTCTCTTCCTCAACACTGGGTACACCTAGCTACCTTGAGCACAATTACGACGCCACGAGATGCATCGTATGTATATATATATATATACATGTAAAAAAAAGAGCCCTTTCGCCACACCCCTTCCGACAGTCTTCTTTCTCCGCCTTAAAAAAAATAATAATAATAATAATAAAGACAGTCGCAGGACTAACACCTCACGAGAACTTTCGCTTCGTCCTCTTCTCTTCTCTCTCGCTTTCCGCCAAGTCACAAGCACGCACGCAGACACACTCCTCTTTCCTCTCGGTCCCCAGGGTCAGGTCAGGTCGCCGCGACTCCCAGTGACCTTCGCCTATGCCCTTGCCCTCCCCCTCCCCCCCAATCGACGCCGCCGCCCCCGCCAGGTCACGCCACGACCTTCTCGTTGTAAGGCAAAGGCGGCGCGGGAGTCGCCGGGGTATTGGAGGCCGAGCTGGGGTTGGAGGACGAGGCGGGGTTGGAGGTGGAGCCCTGCGCCAGTCGGAGGACCTCCTCGCACACCCGCTTGTAGATCCAGGCGTCGCCCTTGAGTCGCTTGCGCCGGATGCCCACCACGTCGAGGCGGGGCACGCGGCACACCTCCAACTCGAAGCTCAGCTTGGCGCCGCCGACGTCGTCCCGCACCTTGCCTCGTAGCGTGTATCTGAAATGACAGCGCCGCGGTTAGCTCTCCTCCTCGGGATCGGGATCAGGTCGTACTTGGCCCTCGGAATAATTCACAGTGCCATTAGTTTGGTCTGTGATTAGCATTCGCCAGCATGCACATTAATACTGTTTACTGCAATAAAAGTAATTAATATACATGGCATATCACAGTCTGGAAAAAAAAAATTACTCAAGATTTTGATATATAACATAGCAAGAAAACAAACATATTTTCTCCCCTAACCCTCCCTCCCTCCTTTCATCTGTCTGTCTGTCTGTCTGTCTGTCTGTCTGTCTGTCTGTCTGCCTGTCTGCCCTATCCACTTATATACGTAAAATGGCAGGGAGCAAATGGGGGGGGGGGGTGAAAGGAAGGGGGAGGGAGAGGGAGATGGCGAGTGAGTTGACGAGGGAAAGGGGGAGGGAGGGAGGGAGGGTGAGAGGGGGGAAAGGGGGGGACTGGGGTGTTGCACGGGGGCCGAAATAATTGCTCTCCCGGTTGTAATAAATGACATGACGGCGAGGATTTTTGGCTGCCAGTGGGGAGAGGGGGGGAGGGGGGAAGGGGAGGGAACAGAGTGGAACGAGTCACCGGGGGTGGGTTTAAATCATGCAGACCCGCCCACACGCCCACCCAACGCTCTCTCTCTCTCTCTCTCTCTCTCTCTCTCTCTTTCTCTCTCTCCCTCCCTATCTACCCCCATTCCTCCCTCTCCCTCTCCCTCATTTTCATTCACTCTCTCTCCCTTCTCCCCACTAACATCGGCGATTATCTCGGTGATGCTGTCCCTCACCATCGCCGCTGCAGTCACCATCCTCTCCTGTGCCTTTCACCTTCCACTGGCCGATGATGGTGACGTAAATGATGACGATGTGATGGTGAAAGATAGTGACGATAACGATGATAAGAGATTATGGAAGATATTTTGACACTACCGAGTGAAATGATCAAGACCGTCAAGATACTATTTATGATTAACAAAAATAATGATAATAATTGCAATAATGATAACAATAAACAGCTATTGCAGAATCGCACACTGAGAGCCTTCAGAAGAATTTTTATTAGGACCATGTTCTCTTAAATATAAATAAAATACCATCATTCATGGAATAATACATCACTACATGCGTTGGTTACGAAGAAAAAAAACTAGAATAAAAAGAAATAATAATGAATATAATACCACCCAGTAATAGTAGCATATCTACCACACAGTTTCATAGCCCCAAGCAACCCCAGTCCACCCCGAGGAGGACTCATCACAAGTCCTCCCCCTCCCCAGGCCAGCCAGTCCCCAGCCCCCCAGCCCCCCCGAGCCCGAGTCCATCACAGCAAGCACGGCCTCGCAAAGCCAAACAATAATGAGCCTAATAACACGAGGCGAGCGAAACCCCGGCGTCCGAGGATTAACATATCATCAGCATTTGTTTTGGCGAGACCCCGCAATCACCACGGCTCAGTGCGGGCTCCAAGCAGGAACAAATCGGCCCGCCTTCCCGTCGCAACAGCTGACAAATGGCAACATGCGAGGGAACACAGGCAGCTACAACAACAACAACAACAACAACAGCAACAACAAAAACAATGGCAGCAAGAGCAACGACGACGACAAAAGAAAAATTAACAACAACAACAACATCAACGAGGAGTCTCTGCCTCAAGTCAACAAATACCTCGCATCTTAAATCTTACATTCTCTCATTCTCTCATTCTCTCTCTCTCTCTCTCTCTCTCTCTCTCTCCCCTCTGTTTCCTTCTCAAGACAGAAGCAGCAATCCAAGCTGGCTGAGGACCACCCAAGCTGTTCCAATCTTTCCCGAACTGTCCCCTTTCTCTCCCCCTCTCCCTCTCCTCTCTTCAAATCACTCCCCTCTTCTTCCCTATCATGCTTTTATTCATTTTTCTCTCCTATCCTCCCTTTTCTCCTCACCCTCTTTGCGTCTCTCTCTTCACCCCTTTTCTCCTCACCCTCTCCCATCCCTTCCAATCTTCCCAACCTCTCCTCCTCCTTCCCCCACCCCCCTTCTCTCTCTATTTGTCTGTTAGTCTGTCTGTCTGTCTTTCTTTCACTATCCTTTCTCTCCTTCCCCCCTTTTTATCGTCTTCCTCTCAACCCACCCACCCTATCTCCTCCATCTCCCCCTCCTCCTCTCTCTCCATATCCCTTCCTCGCACCCCCCCTGCCCCCCCTCCCGACATGCCGCAGTGACGGGAAAGTCCCCCAGAAGGTATTGCGGAGCTCATTATTGCGTCATAAACACGGCATTCCGACCTCGCCGTCGCCCTATCGTTAACCGAATCCGCTCGTAAAACAGACTCAGGGCATTTCCTACTATTCTTCCTCTTCCTCTTCCTCCTCTTCTTCCTCTTCTTCTTCGTCTTCTCCTTGCTCTTCTTCTTCTTCTTCTTCTTCTTCTTCTTCTTCTTCTTGCTCTTCTTCTTCTTCTTGTTCTTCTTCTTCGTCTTCTCCTTGCTCTTCTTCTTCTTCTTCTTCTTCTTCTTCTTCTTCTTCTTCTTCTTCTTCTTCTTCTTCTTCTTCTTCTTCTTCTTCTTCTTCTTCTTCTTCTCCTCCTCCTCCTCCTTGCTCTTCTTCTTCTTCTCCTCCTCCTTGCTCTTCTTCTTCTTCTTCTTCTTCTTCTTCTTCTTCTTCTTCTTCTTCTTCTTCTTCTTCTTCTTCTTCTTCTTCTTCTTCTTCTTCTTCTTCTTCTTCTTCTTCTTCTCCTCCTCCTCCTTGCTCTTCTTCTTCTTCTCCTCCTCCTTGCTCTTCTTCTTCTTCTTCTTCTTGTTCTCCGTACTCTTCTTCTTTTGTCTTTCTTCCTGTATCCACAATGTACCTCTATTCCTTTCTACTTCCCACTCCTCTTTTCATTTTCTTCCTCCACCTCCTCTCCCTCCTCATTTCCTTCCCGCCCTCTCCTGCTTCCGACCTTTCTGTCATTCCTTTATTTCCTCCTTTTTATTGTTTTTCTTCCTTATACTGTTTTCTTCCTCGTCCTCAATTCCATCCAGATCAATAACAAAGATATGCTTAGATTAATTCTTAAAATCCAACTAAATCACAATAAACAATGATGATAATGATGATAAAAATAAAAATAATGATAGGGCTAATACTCACAACAACAATAATAATAATAATAATAATAATAATGATAATGATAATACTAATAATAACAAAAAAAAAAAAGAAAAAAAAAAGAAAAATCAGCAAGGCATTCCTTTATCAACTGCTTGCCCCCGGGGATCACAACCCTCACCCCCCTCCCCTCCCCTTCTCCCCATGTCTCCCAAGCATCTCATCAAATCTTCGAATCTCTTACAAACTGTCTCTCCCCTCCCCCCTTTCCTCCATTCCCTCTCGTCCGTCTTCCTCCTCTCAACCTATCCCCTACTCCCCTCCCCCTTCCTTCTCCCTATCCCTCCCCCCATTCCCTCATGTCCTTCCTCCACCCCCCCCCCTTCCAACCCATGTGCATCCCCCTCCCCAATTCCCTAGTGTCCGTCATCATCCTCCCTCTGCCCCCCCCCCCATCCCTGTGCCTCCCTTTTCCGCTTGACAAGAGGCGTGATAGATGGTGCGGATGCAGACACACATCCCCCCCCTTCCCCCTACACCTCTCACCTACCCCTCTTCTTCGCCCTTCAATTTCCTCTACGTATTCTCTGCCTCTGTCTTCTGTCTTCTGCTCTCTCTCTCTCTCTCTCTCTCTCTCTCTCTCTCTCTCTCTCTCTCTCTCTCTCTCTCTCTCTCTCTCTCTCTCTCTCTCTCTCATTCTCTGAACACCTCCCTTATCCCTTATGGGTGGGGGAGGGGGGAGGGGGGGGAGGGGGAGGGGGAGGGAGAGGGAGAGAGGGGGGGGAGAGAGAGAGAGAGAGAGAGAGAGAGAGAGAGAGAGAGAGAGAGAGACAGGCAGACACAGACAGACAAACACCGAGACAGCGACAGACAGATAGACAAGGCTCCTGAACACACACACACACACACAACACACACACACAACACACACACACACACACACTATCACACACAGAAGCAATCTACAGTCGTATGATAGCCTAGTGAAGCTCCAAAGCGCATACGGCTGCATGGGTGACGCCGTATGCCCAAAATGCATGGTTACATACTATTTGACTTCTATGCCATAAAAATAATGTAGCACCTCGGAAAAAGTATAGACTGATGCAGGGAACGAGGAAGAGGAGGAGAAGGTGGAGGAAGAGGAGGAGAAGGTGGAGGAAGAGGAGGAGAAGGTGGAGGAAGAGGAGGAGAAGGTGGAGGAAGAGGAGGAGAAGGTGGAGGAAGAGGAGGAGAAGGTGGAGGAAGAGGAGGAGAAGGTGGAGGAAGAGGAGGAGAAGGTGGAGGAAGAGGAGGAGAAGGTGGAGGAAGAGGAGGAGAAGGTGGAGGAAGAGGAGGAGAAGGTGGAGGAAGAGGAGGAGAAGGTGGAGGAAGAGAAGGAGGAGGAGGAGGAGAGGAGGAGGAGGAGGAGGAGAAGGAGGAGAAGCTGGAGCAAGAAGAGGAGAAGGTGGAGGAAGAGGAGGAGAAGGTGGAGGAAGAGGAGGAGAAGGTGGAGGAAGAGGAGGAGAAGGTGGAGGAGGTGGAGGAGGTGGAGGGGGAGAGGAGAAGAGTGGAGAGGAAAGGGAGGAGAGAGGAGAGAAGAGGGAGGAGAGAGGAGAGAAGGGGCAAGATAAGAAGGAAGAGAAGAGAGGAGGAGGTGGAGGAAGAGAACAGGGATGGGGGGGGAGTGGAGGGCGCATCTCAAATCAACAGTCATTCATCTCCCCTTTATGATAACATCGCTTGTTATTACCTACTCGACGGGTCATCGCCAACATCACCCCCCCCCCCGTCCCCTCTTCCTCCTCCTCCTCTCCCCAACCCTTTCACCTTCCTCCCCTCCCCCCACACCCCCACTCCAAAACATCCACAAGGCTCCCACCTGCTGCTACTCCACTCTGCCTTCGCCTCCACCCAAAACAGCCGCTACGAACTCCCT